CAGGGGTCTCCACATGGCTGCTCCAGATCCAGGGCTGCATCGGGGTAGGTCCATGTGGCTTCTCCTTGGGGATGTCTTGCAAGAAGTCAGCCTTGCAAGCTGAAGCAGGGAACTGCTAAGGCAGCTGCGCCCTGGTCCAACCATCACAAAGCAAGAGAACGAAGAACTAGAAAGGCGAGGCTCACCGAGCCATTTATCTCTCCGCTCTTCAGTTAACCCCACATGTGTTTATTGGCCAGGTTGGCACAATAAACTAACAAATCACACTCCATGGTACTTTCAATATTCTTCAACAATACCAGAATTCAAATGCATCAGTTCTCCAGTTTTCCATATGCACTTGCCAGCTTTTACATATGCCTCTGTGGTGGTTGAAAATACCACGGCTTGGCTCAGTTGCACATTATCCTCAAAGGGACTTCTTTGCTCTTTGACACTTTAAAGAAGTCTTGTGCCATAGATCCGCTAAATGTAACATGCCCTTAGATGTCTTGACTACTACCTTCACGACCACTGGTTGTGGATGCCAGTAAAATGCAATCCTTGACAACTTCAGTCTTTTCCCCACTTGTCATTATGATATGATAATGTTTATTAGCCCAGTTGTGAGGATGTTCGTTTTCTGTTTATTATGTTAAATTATTTGGTTTTATTTATTCTTTGTGGAATATTTTAATTTCTTTCCATTTCTATGTTCTTTCTTTTTTTTCATGTATATATTTTTAAAACAGTTTTATTGGCACTTAATCCACATAGGATTGTAGTTTTCTTTTTAAAAAAAATTTATTGGGAGCTCTTACAGCTCTTAACACAATCCATACATATATCCATTGTGTCAAACATGTGTACATATGCTGTCATCATCTTTTTCAAAACATTTTCTTTCTACTTGAGCCCTTGGTATAAGCTCATTTTACCCCTCCCCCATAAACCCTTGATAATATGTAAATTCTTTTTTCCCCCCATGTCTTACACCAACTGCTGTCTCCCTTCACCCACTTTTCTGTTGTCCGTTCTTTACCTTGAGTTGTAATCCATATTGATATTTGTAGTTTTTAGTGCTTCAAGTGCTCCTGGTTTTCATCATTGAGGTGTGCCTTTTGCATATTCCCGGCAGTTAATGGACTCTTCCTACAGTCTCGATGCCACCTTCTTCTTTATATGGAGTCTAGCTTCTCAGATCGTTAGCGCTACGTACCGACTGAGTAGGAAACTGGAAAGACACAACCTGATCCACACCGACCCTGATTCTAAGCCATAGGTATTCCCCAGTTCTGATTGAACCAGTGTCTCTGTGTTCTGCATGAGCACAGTGAAATGTTCTGAAACACCCATGTTTCTCACCGTTATCCCTAGTTTGTTATAATTCACATACTCGCAGTTGCAGCCTTCTTAAACTCTTGACTTTCACCTGAATGTGATGAATGTGTTTACTGATGCTATAGGTCACTGCTGCCATTTGGTCTACCATTCTATATGTTAAATTATCAGCACACTTCCCAAAGTGCTAGATGGGTGAGATAGTTTATTGTGCCAGCCTGGCCAATAAACACAAGTGGGATTAACTGAAGGGCAGAGAGATAAATGGCTTGGTGAGTCTCGCCTTTCTTGTCTCTTGCTCTTTGATCATCGGACCAGTGTGCGGCTGCCTTGCTTGTCCTGTGCCTCAATTTAAAGGCTACACT